ATGACTTCTTGGATTGTGTAAGGTCAGAAACCCACATGAACACGGCAGAATGTGCAGTTTCATCAATTATTCTTTAAGACAAGCAGCGGAAAAATAGATAACCCACCCACACCCCCTGCCCCCACCTCCCTCCCCACACGCACAAACAAAATAAACCAACATTTCTCGACTTCCATCTACGGAAAAATACAGTAGCGAAGATAAGTACCCGTATATGTTGTCGACAGTAGATTGCAGCAATTCTTTTTTAAAAAAGAAGAAAAGAAAAGATCAAACCAAAACAACGACGATTTTAAAAAAACACAAAGGAAACAAAAACGAAAATAATAACGAAATAATAAATTTTGCACGATGCAATCCTGCCCGAATTTTTTTGTATATAAAGCCACCCAGAGGTCGGAGAGGTATCTCAGTTCTAGAGAACTCAAAGAGCCACAATGAAGACTTTTGTAGCCGTACTCGCTGCGCTTATCGGTAAGCAAGAACGACTCTTGTTTGTTTGTTTGACTAGTTTTTATTTTGAATTAAGAACAAAAAGTTAAAGCTCAGGTATACCAAGACACAAAGGCAATATTTAATAAGTAAGAACTTCTTGAATGTCACTTCAAACATAGACTACGTGTGTTAATTTGCTTGTTTGTTTGATTGTTTGTCTATTTTGTTTTTTGTTTGGATTACAGAGAAGTGCATTGAAGCGACAACGACCATTTATAATAAAGATAATGATAGACGTAATAACAGTAATGAGAATTCAGGTAGTCCCTAGAAGTCTCTAAGAGCTGAAAGATGCAGAATTATCATTCAACTTTAATTGACAAATCAAAAGGCAAAGAAAAATCTTTACCACATTTTTGTTTTACTCTTTTTTTGTAACCCCACATTGACACAATTTGGAAAATTACGAGGCGTGCTTCCGACCCTGCCTGACAGGGCCAAGCTAGGCTGAGAGGGATACAACATCCTGGCATTCTCGATAACAATGTTCTCTCCTCTCTCAAAAATCGAAATCGGCTCTCCTTCATACCACAGCGAAGCGCATAACTGCTTCACCACAGAGGTCGGTGGGCAATCTTGCGTCCATAGAAGTAATCTATAAGAAGGAGTACATACATATATGGCGACAGTACTTGGAAGACATCATCATTCCAGGAAGACATCAAACAACTTTTACATATCTGTCAGGAGGTGTCATCTCTGACTCAGGGGTTGACGTGTAATGACCCTCCATCTTTCACTGTCACGAGCTGCCGTTGCACATTGTGCCATATCCAGGCCAGAAAGAAGTTGAATAAAGTAGGGCCGAATGGACAAATGTGTAACAGGGATAACGTTTCTTTTAATTGTTCAAGCTTTTTTTGTTCTCCATTATTATGTAGCATGTTTTACGCCCGTATCCTCACAATTCAGATCATTTAGGGGGCCTCACAATTCAGATCATTTAGGGGGCGGGCGCCGACCCGGGCAGTCAGGGTCAACCACGGCTGACAGGGATACAACGTTCTTGCAAAAACCAAAACCCATAGATGATCAATTTAAAACCAAAAAAATTCTCCCTACTCTGGAATCGAACTTGGGTCTCCTAGGCCTTCGTGCGACGACGAGACGCCTACACTGCAACATCATAGACGCCGGGTGTTGTTGGTTTTATTATTATTGTTATTGTTGTTGCTGTTGTTGATGGTGGTGGTGGTGGTGGTGGTGGTGGTGGTGTTATTATTGTTGTTATTGCTGCTGTTGTTGTTGTTATTATTGTTGTTATTGTTGTTGTTGTTGTTGTTGTTGTTGTTGTTGTTGTTGTTTTGTTGTTGTTGTTGTTGTTGTTGTTGATGGTGATGGTGGTGGTGATATTTGGTGGGGGGGGGAAAATATAGGGGGGTGTTTTGTATTGGTTTTTGTTGTTGTG